AGGCCCCAGGCAGAAGGATTGTTGGGGTGCAGGTTGTGCTGACACGAGGCCAGGGGATGCAGGGTGTGGGATGTGCAGGGATCCACCACCCCAGGCCTGTTGAAATCCTGCAACAGCAGCAGCTCTGCCCCAGGACAAGGGTCTCTTGCTCCAGCTGTGATCCCAATCCTCTCGCCACAGTCCTTCCCCCCTCCAGCACCTCGAGGCCTGTGAGCTGACAGCAGGCCTCTGGTCTCACTCGGTTGGTTTTCCCAGGTTTGATCACGAGGCTCTAGGGAGGTTCCTGGGTTCCTGCTGGCAACATCAATCTTCGAGCATCGATACTTCCTCTGGCTCTCTGACACTCCAGGACATGTTTCTGCACCTCACCCCAAGCACAGCCACATTCCATGGGCACTTTGCTTCTGTCTGAGGCCCAGGAAGAATTTTTCTCCCCTGGCTGCCTGCAGGCCAGGGAAAATGCTGCATTTCATGCTCTTTCGCAGAATTTGTCACCTTTTCTCCATTGTTACTCTGGAAACCTCCCCCTGGAGATGGGCAGGAGCTCCTGCTGGACAAGGTGGACCGGGGGGCACCCGTAGGCACACGGGGAGCAGCAGCTGGGCTAAAAATAGACCTTGGGGGGCTGCCAAGGCACTCCCAACCATCCTGGGAGATCAGTGACACTAATTACAAGAGCTTGAAAGGGCAGCTCGTTCCCAGAAGCCGAGCATCTCCCCCTAGCCGAGGACCAGGAGCGATGGCCACGTGAAGGCGATGGGGATGACCGGACTTGCTCCCCTGCTACCAACACCTCTGCAGCACTGAGAGCTAATTGCACAGAACTCCTGCTGTTGCCTTGCAGCCTTCCTCCTCCTCCTCCTCCTCCTCCTCTTCCTCCTCCTCCTCCTCCTCCTCCTCCTCCTGGGGCCAGCAGGCTGGCAGCCCTCCTCACTAACTACTGCTTGTTTTCTATGCCACTCTAATTGCACGGCACAAGTAACCACCTCACACCACCGGCAGCAAAAAAAATTCCTCGGCATTGGCTGTGGGGAGGTGGTGGTGTGGGAGGGCGGTGTGCCTCTGCCCCTGCGTGTGCACAAAATCCAGCGTTATTTATGGAAGGGAAAAAATTACAGGGGACAACGTTACAGGCTGAGTATACCTGGAGTAACACAGTGACTTTGATTACAATTACTGACACTGCTGGGTGAGGTGTAATTAATAGCACAGAGTAATTACACGGTTCCTTCATCTGTTTAAAAATATATAAATATTCTCTGCTGAGTTTTCATGGAAAGCAGCAAACACCAGCCCCAGAGTCAGAGCCCTGCACAGCTCCATGCACGGACCCAGGAAAGCCTGGGGCAGAACTGAGGAGGAAAAAAGGGGAAATGGTGAAAGCAGAACTGAAAGTAGCTGGTTCCAGAAGCAGCCAAATGATGCCCAGGGTACCTCAGGAAGCTGAACACCAGCAAAAAAGTAAAACGGAGGCTGAGGGGCTGCACTTTGGCAGGCATGGGTGGCAGTGCCATTGCCGAGACGGTTCCAGAGGGTGCTGCTGCTCCCCACCAAACCCAGCAGAAGTGGCATGAAGGCGATGGGCTTTGTTTTAAACAGATGAAGCACCCACCCCAGCGACCACATCACTTGCCAGTGAGCTCCCGCTTGGCCCCGGTGGATTCGACACTGACAGCTGGGCTTGAGTGTGGATGTTCCTGGATACAAGTGGAGATGGTCGGAGCTGATGGAGTGTTCCATCCAGCACTTCTGAGGCTGCCTCAAAGAGCCCACTGGCTTCTCAAGGTGCTGGGAGAGTTCCCAGAAGGCGGTGATGTGGGCACCTGGAGACCCTCTGGCGCCAGGGCTGGCCCGCCAGCCCCATCACTGGCCAGGGGCAGCCCCCTGCACGCTGTAGGCACTGCTGTCCCGGCTCTGGCACAGGCAGGGGATGACACTGAGGACCAGAAAGAAGGGTCCCTTGTTCTTCCTCAGACAGAAAACATTCACAGCTCCAGAGAACCAACCCCCCGGGTAGGTTACAGCCAGGAACTGTCACCCAGCTGGCAATGTGAGGGGGGGTTCCTGTGGGTCCTGGCAAGGACATGGGATGGAGCGTGGGCAGCGTCAGCCAGAGCCTGCGTAAGGAGCCCCCACGTTGGCATCTGCCTGGCGGGGCTTGGCGATGGTGAGAGGGGAGTGCCCTGCAGAGAAAAACTCTCCCTCTGGTGTCTCCGTTGCTTCAGTGCTTCTGACTTGATGTTCTGTTTTGTTTTCAAATGTGAAGACCTGAGATTGAGCGTGGGTTTCCCGTCCGCCACCAGACGCCGCGGCGTGGGCCGGCCCGAGGCGTCACCTCCCGTTCCCCTTTCCTTCACCACGAGTAGAGGCACCTGAACAGGGATGCGATTCCCGATACCAAGGCGTTGGCAAAGCTCCAAGCGTTGCTCGGCACTGCTGGTCCCACCGGCTCCGGCTGAAGGGCCCTGCAGCGGTTCAAGGACCAGAAGGAAGTTCACGGAGACCTCGTGGCCTGCATGGAAATTGCTTCCCCTGTCCACGGGGGGCTGAGGGGCTGCGTTTTAGCAGCTGCTTGAGCTCGTGTAAGGGGTGGGGAAGGAGGTGGAGCTGACACCGATGGGGCTCTCAGAGAGAGGCGTTTGGGGGGTGCCCCCTGGCACCCCGACCCCCCGCGCCTCCAGCACGGCGGTGAGCAGACGCTGCTGCTGCTGCCGCAGCATGTCAGCCATCAGCAGTGGCAGGGAGTTGAAACTGGCACTGAGCTGCTCCAGCTTGGATTCCAGGCCACTGATCTGCTTCTCCAGGTCCTCGCTGCGGTCGTTGAGCTCGGTGATGAGGTCATACATCACGTTCTGCATCTGGGGAGGGGACACAGGGGACAGCAGAGGGGTTAGTGCCATGGCTGAAGGGGTTAGTGCTGCTGCTGTTGCTGGCAGAGCTGACCCCTTTAGCCCTGAGAGTTCCCAGACTTCTGTGATGATGGTTTGGCTCATCCCTGGACATCACAGCAAGGAAACTCTGCCAGCCCTGTGTTGCTGAGCAATGGCACCTTCGCAAAAGCGAGTGCAGGGAGCCCCTGGCTCGTGTATGAGTTTCTCCTCCTGCCTTGCAAGGGCAGCCATCCCACAGCAGCTATTCCTGGCTGACACCAACCGAGCTGGAGCATTTTGCAGTCAGCCAGGTCTGCTTTAGTTTTTCTGAGTGAAGAGAAACACTCGGGTAGCCTGGCTGAGCCACAGGAGACTTGCCTTTGAGAGGTCAACAAGGGTGTTGGCTTGGTCACTCAGCTTCCTCTGCTCCATCTTCACACTCCGCAACCTGGGGAGAAGGAAAGAGCAACAGGGTTGCACACCTACCCAGTTTCAAAGTGCAGCTGGAGAGCTGCCTGCATCCCAGGCAATGGAAAATTGTCCCCACACCCTTGCCAGGGATTGGACCCCAGTTCATCTGGGGCTCAGCAATGCCCCCAGCCCAGTGCATGGCCCCTTACTGGTGAATGGCTTGTAGGAACTTCCTCTGGTGCTTCCTGACTTTGGCATGGTCGATCTTCTTCAGCAGCTTGGTGTGCTTGTAGATGAGCCACGTTTCCCGCAGGACGTTGGCTGCCGCGTTCTTGATCTGCAAAAACAAGAGCCGGCTGCAGGTCACCAGGCCCCAGCATGTGGGATTTCACAGAGACACTGGTCTGGCTCTGCCACGAACTGGTGTTGCAAGAGCACTTGACTGGCCCCAGCTGGAGCGAGGTGCTCAGCCCCTCGAGGGATGAGGGGCAGCTCAAGCAAGAACAAGCACCCACACCGTTGCCCTACTCTGCACTGATGCTTCAGCACCAGGCTCCTCGTCTGCATGTGAAATTGTACCCTAAGGTCCAAGAAGAAGAAAAAAATCCCCAAGTTTTTCTTGATTCCTGCATCCATCTGCCACTCTTGGCAGTCCCGGTCGGGCCGCGACTTCCTCAGGCTCCGCAGCTGAACCGCATCCCTGCTGCTCTCACTCCGGGAGGAACCGGCTGCCGTCTCCTGGCCTGGAGCCCACAGATCCATAGCCACGGCCAGAGGAGGGGGCTGACCAGCTGTTTGCTTTTCCGGCTCGGTCACACCGAGGTCCTGACTGTCCCTGGGGTGTCAGGGCTCTGGCTGGGGTGGATCTGCCGGGGGCTCCGTTCTCATTACATCATCTGCCACTGTTGGTCTGCCACCGTTTTGCCGTGATGAGGCTGCTGAGACCAGAGACCTCCTGCAGCCCCTACATGTTACCAGGGATGTGACACCAGACCCTGGCATGACAGTGACCCCCTACATCTCCCACTGCAGGCTCTTGGTCCCTCCTCGGGAGCGGAAACAGCAGGAGCCTCACAGTGTGGCTCTTGTCTGCAGTGAGCACTGAATTACCAAAATCCTCCTGACACCAAGAGAAGTGAGATCATGCTCTGCAAAAGGAGGGAGTCTGTATCCTCCCAGAGGGAAAAAACCAGGCTTTTGCTTTCTGGGGTGTGACTGAGCATCCTGTATTGCCTAAATCCCCAGAACAGAGCTGATGGTGTTTGCTTTCCGTGTAACTCTTGCGCCTGAGCTGCATCCACAGCACTTGGACAACTTCTTCCACTGTGGTATCCACAGGACCCACACCCAGAGGTGCTGACACCTTCCTCCTGCCATGGTACCCCAAATCCCCAGCTCCTGGCGCGTGACACGGCCCCCTGCTCCTGCTGCCCCCCATGGCACCTTACCCGCTTCGTCAGCTGCGTGTCCATCATGAAGTTGTGGACGTGCTTCTCAGCTTTGGTGAGCTCCAGCTTCCTGGCCACCACAGCCACCACCAGTGCCGTGCAGCCAGCACCCTGTGCAGGGATATCAGTTGGGGAAATGGTTTGTCACCCTCTTGTAACAGCAGCGCTTACACCCTCACCCTTGCAATCCCCTAATTAGCTAAAGCTACACGCCCTCCCCTTTATCTCAACAAGGAGATATCACAGAGCCTGGGTGCCCTTGAAGGGCTGACAGGGGTAATTAATGGGAGAGGCCAAGGCTACTGACAAGGTCGGTGGTGAGCCTGTGCCACCACAGGCCAGGGATCTGCCCCGTGCTGCTGCCCTGGAGGATGGAAAGCCCTCCCACACCACAGAGGGCTCTGGGGTGGGGAAGCACCAGGCAGCCTGGGTGAGAGCCCCAAATCAGGACCCCTCAAATCACCACGCCTTCCAACAGCACCAGCTGGGAGCTGGCCCATCCTGGCTATTGGGGCTGGATCTGTGCAGCAGCCACCAGCTCCAGCACACATTGTCTCTGGCAAGCCAAGCGCTCCTTTCAGAGCCTCCCTGCCGTGCTCCTGAGCTCTGCCCACTGCTGCTCACACCGGCTGAGCCGCCCCCCCAGCGCTCTGGCACAGCCACGCCAGCCTGGCAAGCACCCTAATTTAATAGTCATTAATTAACGTGATGCCCTGAGCTGAATCCTTCAGCATCCTCGAAGGTCCCACAGCACTCTCTCAGCTCCTACCACTTCTCTCTTCCTGGTGGGGCCACCACCCCTGGTGCCGTGGCTTGGGAAGCCCAGCAGAGCCCCCAGCCCCAGTGGGCACAGGTTCCCCATTCCCAGGGGGTGTGTGGGACTGTGCTAGAGGTGGAGGACACTTTGCCAGATGGTGTCTCACTTCAAAGTAACCACTGGCTGGGGGAGAGTTTTGGGAGCTGTGGCACTGAGACCCCCTCAGCTGAGCCAGTGGCTGCTCCCCTGCTGGGAATCCCCACCCACAGGGAGCTGTTCTCTCTTGCTTGGCTCCCACCAATAGCACCAGCCTCGTCTGAGGTGGATCAAAGACTTGCAGATAATATAAAATTAATCCCCAGTGGTGGAGCCGCCCTGGCTGAAGGCTCTCATGGGGCTGCCCTTAGCTGGGAACAGGGATGGCTCCATCCCCAGGGCCTGGAGCTAAGGTGGGCAGGGCCTGGGTGCTGGGATAAACCTCTGGAGGAGCTATGACCACCGGGCCCCTGGCCACTCTTGGCAGCCCTGGCTGGCAAGTCCCACGAGCTGGGAGATCTCATGGGCACCTCAGAGCAGGTATGCCAGAGGCTGTGGCAGACGGTGACCTTCTGGCCAGAAGGAAGGGAAGCCATGGCAGAGCAGTGATGCTGGCAGAGGGTGAAGGGCTTTCAGCTGGTTCCAGCTCTTAGCAGGAGCCAGCAGCCTTTGGAATCACTCTGAGTGACAGAAGACAGTTGGTGTGCACCAGGATGGCTCAGGGGCCCCTCTTCTCCCTGGGCACATCACTGGCCCTACTGAATGCAGGTCCAAATCCACCCCAAATTCACCAGCTGGGACAGCTCCACCAGCTTCCAGGCTGTGAGACCTCAGACCTGAAGCCTCACACCTTACACATGGACAAAAGAGCTGGGAAATGGGTCCCCTTAGAATCCAGTGGCCCTGCTGCTGCGATGGGGACAGGCAGAGCCCACGGGATGGGCAGCTGGCTTGGCACGGCCCTTACCATGATGCCAGTGAGGAGGCAGACCCCCTTCCCACAGTAGGTGTGTGGGACCATGTCACCATAGCCAATGGACAGGAAGGTGATGGAGATGAGCCACATGGCACCCAGGAAGTTGCTGGTTACATCCTGCTGGTCGTGGTACCTGCCAACAAGACACAGACATCAGTGCCACAGCAGGGGGCAGGGATGGATGTGGGAGAAAAAGGGGTGCCTGGGCACAGTGGCTCCCCTGGCACAGGCTGTGCTGGGGTTTAGGATTAACAACACAGCAGGATGTCCCATAGCAGCAGTGGTCGCACAATTTCTGGTGCAGATAAACTCGCATGGACAAAATCAGAGCAAAAAAATCAAAGGCAAGAGCTTCTGCTTTCAATCACACCTGTCACCACATCCCCGTCCCGCTCCCCGTGTCCCCAGGGTCATGTGGTGCTGCGCTGAGAACTGGCTGATGGGAGAAGCAGCTGTGGCTCTGCAAATCCCTTGGCTGCAGCAGCCCCACTGCTGGCATCCTCCCCTGCATCCCGTGCTGCTGCAGCCTGGGCTGTGCTGCCCCAGGGGACTGCCATCAGCAGCCCCAGCAGAACCGCCAGGGATGGATCCTGCCCAGCCCCCAGCATCCACTCGGCTCTTGGATGAGGGGAATGGCTCACACACTCAAGACACAGCACACGTGGAGTGGCTGCAGCTTCAGGGATGTGCTGCAAGCTTTCCAGGTCATGTCCCTGCTGAGCTGTGAGCTCTGGCCGTTCTGGACATCGGCTGCAGCTCCTCCAGCAAACACAGGGGCCCCAAACACCTCCTGCTCCCCAGGGCTGGTGCAAACCTGGCCAAGCCGTGCAACTGATGCTTCCCAGGGGATGCAGCGTTGACTTGTGGCAGCAGAGAGGGGCCTGGCCCAGTCTGCACCACGACGTGGCCCTGTGCCCTGGGCAGGGGCAGGCAGCACCTTCATCCCCCCAAGGACAGGACAGTTGCCCTTCTGCTTCCCCAGCAAGGCTTCTCCCAGCCTCTTCACGGAATCATGAGAGCGAAAACAGATGGAGCTTTTGGCAGTCCTGGCTCCCTGCTCATTGCTCCCAGAGCAGTTGGGTTTTCTCCTGTTCCAAAATGTTCTTCCCTCCAGTAACTGGAGACTCAAATGAGATCTTGGTGCAGGAAAAAGCACCCTCAGCCGCAGTGAGAGTTGCTCTGAGCAGCTGGCCGGGGGACCTGCAGCCCATAAGCACTGTGGGCATCCCCAAAATCGCAGTAACAGCGTTGGAATGCACCCCCTATCCTGGCCAGAGTATTCCCCTGGGAAGGGCTGAGCCCAGCTCATCACACAGGATGGAATGTTTTGGGGACAACCCCGAGAGCACCAGGCTGAACAAGGAGGTTACAGCCCAGCCAGACAGATGGACCTTTTCTCTTCTGACCAGCGCTTGGGGCAGAAGGAGATGATAAACCAGAGAGGCTGGCACTCCCCACAGCTGGGGTGGGCAGGAAGAGCGGCCACCTGCCTCATGCCCAAAGACTGCTGCAGTCAGCCAGACCCCAGCACTGCTTCCCACCGTGCCCTCGCCCGCCCTCCCGCTCCCCTCGAGGCCACAGCCACCCCGTCGCTGTGGGTGACACGAGCATCGCCCCACGCCCGCACCGCGCCGCCGGGCTTTGGGCAGCACCAGCCTCGGCGGAACCAACCCCGCGGCTCTGGGCAGCGCCAGCCCCAGTGGGTGCCCCGGTGGGTGCCCCGGTGGGTGTCCCGGGGGTCCCCGGGGCGGGCTGGCGGCACGAACGGGCACACGTGCGGGCCCACGTGCGCGCCGTCGGCGGGCAGCCCCGGCAGCGCTGGCGGCAGCGCAGGCACCGCGGGCGGCTGCGCTCGGTGGCCAGGCGAGCGGGCGAGGTTGCTAAGCGACTCGCTGCCTTCGGAGAGCTGCGGCCCCCCGGCGCGCACGGGGGGATGCTGCGCCCGCAGGTGCTGGAGCGGCCCACGGTGCCGAGGGGACGGGCCGTGGCCGTGCCGCCCCCAGCCCCGACACACCCGCCTCTGAGCTGCCTGGTCCCCCCCGGTGGGTGCCGGCTGGGAATGGTCCTGCAAGGCACAGAAAAACTGATTTCCAGGGCCGACGCAGCAACCTGCCGTCAGTGGGGACAGGGGGACGCGTTCTGGCTGGCCCTTGTGGGAGTTGTGTGACACCCAGGGCTGGTGCATGCCCCGTGTGTGTCCCTCTAGCATGGAGCGTGTCCCAGGGCTCTGCATCCCCCCCAGGGCTGATGCACCTCCAGACCACCTGGGTTCGCTTCTGCCGCTCTGTAGACAGAGGGAGGTGATGCCAACTGTGGTTCTGGTGATCTGCAGCGCCTCGTCTGTGTCATTTCTGGGATTTTTTTTTTTTTTTTTTTTTTTGGTGTGTGTGTCTCTAATGGTTCTTTGTTTATATTGTGTTTTCCAGCCTAAGCCTCACCAGGTGTGAGATCACCCCCCTTGTGTGTGTCCTAGGTACCTGTCTGCCTGTGCCCTGTTTAGGAGTCACAAACAGAAATCTCCCAAACACAGTTAAGCAGCACCTAAGCATCCAGCCCAAAAGGAGAGCATCATTAAGGGAGACAGGAAGGAAAACATGGCCTGTAAAAGCTTGAAAATCTCAGTGTGCCACAGCATTTACATCTGCCCTAATGCCCCTTTGTGGGTGACCAGAGCAACAGGTCCCACCCTGGGGAAGAGGAGGGGTGGCCTTCCCCTCATCTTGCAACCACCTAGAATAGACCCTGGGTAGTTGTGTAAATGCCAGTTGGGGTGTAATCCCTTGCATGTCATTTCCAAGGATGACACAAAGCTGCCACAACAGGACACAAGACACCCCGTGGGAGACCTGCTCTGCCTGCCCTAGGATGAACATCTGCTGCTGGCACCTTGCACCATGGCCATGGAGAAAACCCCCTGGCACAGCACCGGGGATGCCACCACCACAGCCCCCTTGGTGGGCAAAGAGTGGTGGCAGGTCCCTGAGAGATGGAGGTGCACTGGTACCCACCAGGCCAGCCACCACAGCAACCCCAGCGCCAAGCATGCCAGTGCTGGCACGAGTCCATCTGGCTGTGGGTTTTTCCCCACAGTTCTCTCGTGGTAGTCAGTCACAGCGATGCCAGAGCCTGAGCCAGGCCCTTCCCCTTTCCAGCACTGATCATCCCAAACTACTGCACATCCCAAACTGCTGCACATCCCAAACTGCAGCTCGTGTCGAATGACCACATGTCCCGAACTGCCAAGCATTCCAAACTGCCGTGCATCCCAAACTGCCATGCATCCCAGACCATGGACTGCTGAGCATCCAGAGCTGCTGCACATCCCAAACTGCTGCACATCCCAAACTGCTGCACATCCCAAACCGCTGCACATCCCAAACTGCAGCTCGTGTCGAATGACCACATGTCCCGAACTGCCAAGCATTCCAAACTGCCGTGCATCCCAAACCTCCACGCATCCTGAACTGACGTGCCTCCTGGACACCGAGCACCCCAAACCACCAAGCCTTTTGAACTCTTGAGCATCCTGAACGACCGAGCATCCAGAACCGCCACATCTCCAGAACCACCACCCATCCTGAACCGCCACACGCCCCAGACCCCCCCTCACCTCTCGCACACGCGGACTGTCCACGCAGCGATGATCCAAAGGGAAATGCTGAAGACCAACAGCACCGTCCCGGGGCAGATGGTCATGAGCGTCTTCATGACGAAGCGGGTGTTGAAGTTGATCTTGTTGAGGGCCCCGATGCTGCGTGAGGAGGCGTCGGTGAAGAGCTTGCTGTGCAGCAGCATCACCCGAGCAATCAGGTAGAGGCGCAGGAACATGGGGATGGACAGGATGATGTCCACGTCCGCCTCTGCCCGAGAGGGTGTGTAGGAGAAAGCCAGGCGGGCTGTCCAGAAAAATTTGTACTCCCCGGGGATGGGGTGTATGGCACAAACCAGCATCTCCAGGCTGATGTAGAGGATGCGCTCGTAGGTCATCGCTATCCGCCAGTCGTCGGCTCCGTTGTCGATCACAAAGAGCTACCGAGGTCAAAACCACGTGGTTACTGATGGCCCCAGCCAACCTGCCCCACTGGCCTCCCACTACAGGCAGCGGGGATGTGATACCAGAGCCAAAGGAGCTGGGTGTGGCACGGCCAGGAGCGCTGGGGATGGAGAGGGTAGGAAAGGGTGGGAATGAGCCATGACCGGCCTCTCTGTTGATCTGCCAGTGTGTTCCAGGGATAGCTGCAGTGCTGGGGACACCCCAGAAAGCTTTAAGGTGCCTGGCCTCGAGAACGTGCCCAGGAGACAGCTCACTCAAACACCAGGAGCCCACCTCCCAGAATGGCCCCCTCACCCAGGCCACAGAACGGGCGAGCTGTGGGGCCACAGAGCATCAGCACGAGCCACCCCAGTCCCTCTGCTCCCGCTGGTGCTGCAATGGTGTCACTGACAGCCACCACACCCTGAATTTCAGGGCAATTTTTGGGGAGGGAACACCACAGTCACAGCATCCAGCTGCTGGCGGAGATGGGATCCAGTTGTCATGGCAACAGACGGTTCATCCTGGGTACACCAGCTCCTCTCCCACCATCAGTGATGGAGTCAGGGTCTCTGCAGGAGCTGGGGGGGATGGCAGCTCAGGCTGGCCTCTCTGGGGTGCCACCAGGGCTCTGGAAGTCATCCACACTGTCCTGCCTTGGCAGGTCTGTTCTGAGGCTGCCATCGGCTTCTCCTGGTGCAGTGGGGACACTGCTGTCACCCACAGCACCAGGGACGTTCTCAGGGCCCCTCTGCAAGCAGCACTTGGCAAAGATGCCACCAGGAAGGGATCAAAGGGGACGTGGCAGCTGGTGCTGCTGTCCATGTCCTTGACCCTTCCAGCACAAAGCGTGCCCAGGGGTCCAGGACCTATCGCAGTCACTCCAGCCAGGGCAGGGGGTGGGAGGTGGGTGGGGAGCACGGCTGGCACTGAGCCCAGGAACAATCCTCCTGCCCTCCCAGAGGCCCCTGTGCACCTGTGGCAGGCGCCCTGCTGGCAGGGCACGGCCCTTGGGGCTCTCCCTGGGGATGGCAGGAGCCACAGGGACTGACTCATGGAATGGCTGCCCCGGCCACCTCCCTTTCTGTAGGGAAAGCTCTGCTCTTTTTAGCTGCTTTGTTTGAGAAAATGTTTATAAAAATGCTCCAAGCTGTCAAGGGAGATCCTCAGGCATGTAACAAGCTGACAGCCCATTCCTTCCTGGAAAAGGGTGTTAAAATAAACAAATCAGCAAGAGGAAAAAGGCCTTTTAACTGCATGGTGGGGGTTTGCCATAGTCCAGCTCAGGTAGGGGAGGGAGCAAGGGGGGATCCAGGCAGGTTTCCCCTGATCCAGCCCCTCTCAGCTCTGTATCTGTGAAGCATCGTTGTGGGTTCCCATGGAAACCTGGTGTGGTCCAGTGGTACTCAAGGGGGCATCCCCAGCATCACTGGCTGCAGCAGGGGAAGGAACAAGTGTGTCAGCCACTGCATCTCCAGACAAGTGAAGCCCAGGAAACCACCAAGATGCAGCATGGGGACAAAAGCTTCACCAAAATGGACAAACAGCCCCAGGCACTCCAAGCACAGGGACAAGGGGGGCTCTGCCTCCCCAGGCACCCTGGCTGGAGCTGGCAGCCTCACCAGCACCTTCATGTGTTGTGGTGATAATGGCATACTGGCAAGGGATGGCACATTCCACACCTCCACCCAGCACCAGAGATGTTGCTGGGGTGCCCCAGCCCCAGAGAAACTGAGGCACAGGAAGCTCTTCAAGTATCCCAAAGGGCTAATTAACACAACTAGTAGGGTCATACAATCACAGACTGGCTTTGGCTGGAAGAGACCTTAGAGTTCACCTCGTTCCAAGCCCCTGCCGTGGGCAGGGACACCTTCCACCAGACCAGGTTGCTCCAACCTGGCCTTGGACACTTTCAGGGATGGGGCAGCCACAGCTGCTCTGGGCAAGACAGGAAGAGGAAAGAGACTGAAGTCATTGTTTCCCAGAGGCTGGGAGGTCTGACAGTGCCATGGTTGGATGAGAACAGCCCCCTCCTTGGGTGAGAGGGACAAGAAGCTGAGGATTTACAGCTCTGGCAGCTCCTCTCCACCCCAGCTGGATTATCAGCAGTGCCTTTACAACACTTAAGAGGTAACAGGGTGATCAGCAGCCAGCACATCTCTGTCTGGAGCAGGTCAAGTCAAACCAATCTCATTTCCCTCCTTGCCAGTGCAACTGGCCTGCCAGAGCAGCCAGGACTTTAGTGAGGTTTGGTCTCTGTGTGGGGAAGGACAGTGGTGGGATTTTGGCTCTGGTCGAGGCGGGAGAGGTGGGATGACCCGAGGGCCGTGGGGGTGGACACTGTGTTTGCACAACCTGCTGCCAGGAACAACAAGCAGAGGAAGCCACAAGCACCAGGGCCCGGCTCGCCTGGCTGACCCTGACCGCCGCCACCCCAGGGTAAATATTATTCCAGCAAAAACCACAGCTCCCAAGTACTTGCTTAGAGCAACCCACCCCCAGGCTTGGTCCCTGGGGCGGGGGCTGCAGGGACCGGGGTGCTGGCAAAGCCACACTGGCCCCCAGCCCCGAGAGGGACAAGTTGGGATTATGGTGCACTCAGGACTGGGAACTTCGACATCCCTTCCCAGGATGCTCCTTCTCCTGACTGGTGATTCATTCCTCCCATGCCCCAAACAGGACGGCAGCGTGCCGAAGCTGGTTCCCACCGGGAAGTGCAGCCTTCCTGCCACAAACTGGGAGCCCTTTAACTTCCCAAGGAGGAAGAGAATGTGCAGCCCTGATTAGGTAAGGATTTCACAGCTTTCCTTGGCACCTCAGCTGGTCCAAGCCCTTCCTGGCCACAGCTTCCCCCAGCCACCAGCAGATCCACCGGGCACCTGAGGCTCAGACAGACCCCTCAGTGCTTGGCCTGACTGCCCCCTGAGATGCCTCGCTGCCCCCCAAGGCCCTAGCAAGGAGGGAGGAGGTAAAGGTACTATGTCCCACCCAAGTGGCTGGAAAATCCCTCAGCACACCCCAGCAGCCCCTCACAAGGCACTGATGATGTCAGGACCTACCTGCACCTCCCGTGTGTGGTAGGCAATGATGAGGCCCAGCAGGATGACGGTGGAGAGGCTAATAAGGCATTTCAGGGCCAGGGAGAACATGGAGTCCTGCAGGGCGAGAGTGGGGAAGGCATTAGGGGGTGTGCAGCTGTAGGATGCTGTTGGCCCTGGCTCCACACCCCAAGGAAGGTGCTGCCCCCAACACCTACTATCTCCCCCTCAATAGCACTTTGGCTGCCTCAGCCCCCACCCTAAGCAGCTTGGCATGGTAGCAAGGGCACCATCAGCACCATCAGCATCACTGGCACCTATGGCATCCAGCACCACTGGTACCACCAGCACTGTGGGCCCTTTCTCCTTTTTTGAATTTAATTGTGGTGAGTGCAGTTCCCAGCCTCCCCTCACTGAGATGTGTGACACCAGCGTCCCGGCCCCATCCAGCCTGAGCCCAATATTATGGCACTCAAATGGGTGGCCTAGATCCTCCTGCCAATTAATCCTATGTAAATTAAACCAGCCCCTGATTCACTGGTGGCCGAAGTGGCTGATCCCCAGGAGCCCACTGGGAAGAACAGGATTCACCGTCTGCTTTGGACATGGCTGAGCTCATGTGGGCGCAGCCACAGCCTGACCCCACGGGTGCCAGGGCTTCAGCAGCATCTCACCAAGACGTTATCCCTAACCCAACCTGCCCTGGTGGGTCCCACAGCCCCCCCCCATCCCCGCTGTGGTGAGCCCCGGCACACTCATGACGTGCTCACGGCAGGCCCTCCTTGGCTCTCCAGTGTGCCAGGCTGCCTTCAGCCTCCCTCAGCTCCCTCTCCCCGGTGTTCCTCAGCCCTGCGGGGTGTTTGCACGCCGAGAAGGGACTATTTGCTGCGGAGGCGGTGACGCATTGTTAACGACTTGGCTCCGGCCGCACAATTGTGTGGATATAATGGCTGGTGTTGAGAGAAGTGCTGGGACCAAATACCAGCTATTAATAGGCAAACTCCGGGGCAGAAATGTGGCAAGGCAGCTCTGGCCAGAGCCTTCCCAGCAGCACCAACCCTGCCTGATGCACGGGCATCCACTGGTTCACCTGGCAAATCTCACCCACTACATTTACTAATGCCTCCTGCCAGTGTCAGGTCCAAGGAGCTGTTCCTGGATCCCATGCTCGCAGCAAGCAACACGGGACCGTGGCTGAAATGGGGCAAGACCTTGGCACCTGCAGCACACGTCTCATTGCACCACATTGGTGGCGAGATCCTTCACCCCAGCAGTGCCGTTCAGGTGGTGGGAAGCAGCAGTGCCATCCCACAGGCAGGAGAGGCCCTGTCCTGCCCACACTGGAGTGACAGGCAGGGAGCAGGCAAACCCTGGCCATTGTGTCCTCCCTTCCCAACTCAGCCCTGGCACCCTCTGGCTGGGAGCATGTGGCAGTGTGGCTGGGACTATGGGGCACAGTCAGAGCTGGGCCAGTGCCAGCAGCACCGACATCCCAGTCTGCACAGCAGCAGCTGGTCCTGACTCTATGGAGGTTCTCCCATGCTCCTGGTTGTGTCCCTGCCAGCGAGCTCTGGTTTCCCAGTGGGAGCTGATGGGGATGAATTTATACCCAGCAGCCCCACTGCTGCAGATCTGGCCAAGGGCCTGGGGAGGCCAGGGCTCGGGGACTCCCCTGCACCCTGTGCTTGTCAGCACAAGCGTTCACATCACAGCGGGGCAGGGGTGCAGCAGCAGGTCACAGCTGCTGCATGGTGGCAAGCGCTGACTCACAGGGTCTTCCCCAGCTGACAAAGCAGCCCAGCGTGCCAGGGCCAGCGTGGCAGTGGTGCTGCTGGCAGCTTGGGGAGGGTGGGCAGTCCCCCCGTGCCAGACAAGCAGGCACACGGAGCCTGCGAGGGCAGCCGCGGCTCAACAGGTAGCAGGCACGGGTGGGGGACGGTGGTTTGGCCTTGCTCCCACCGAAGGAGAGTGGGAACCACTAGGAAAAGGCTCTGGCAGTGAAGTGTCCTTCTCCCTCAGCAGGGGAACCGGGGATGCCGGTTTGGCACCAAGGCCTCCCACTGCCTCGGACAGAGCAGTGGAACTGCTGCCTGCAGCCCCCACACGCCCACTGACACTGTCAGCCGTGGACAGACGGCACTCAGGAGCCCCCCCACCAGGCAGCTCTGTGGGGAGGCAGCAGGGTCCCCCCACACCCGTGGGACCCCCAGCCACGTCCCTCCCTTCCTCCACCTCTTCCACCCACGCTGCCCTCCCCACTGCCCAGGCTGGATAATGGCAGGAAGTGGTGAGCACCCCCTTCCCACCTTGCTCCTTCCCCTCCACCGGTGGCACTGTGGCACAGGGACCCCCGCTGGCTGCCCCCCAGCCCCCTCGGCAGCACTGTCCCTCTGACGCCCATGGGTGCTGGCGCGGGTGCCGATGCCTTCCCCTCTCTGGATAGGCATAAATAACATGACAGATGTCTATACAAAGAGTTATTCATATCGCTGCCAACCAGCGCAGCCCGGGAGCAGGAGCTGGAAGGGACGTGGGGGGGAGAATTATAAATAAAAAGACACTGTCCTGCAAAAAAAGAAGGAAAAAAAAAAAGGAAGGAAGGGGTGTGGAGGAGGAGGAGGGAGGGGGTGCTCTGATGCACCACCAAGGGCGCTTTGAGGAGCACCTGACCATGGCAGCAACAGGCACCGCAGACCTCGGTGGGTCGGTGCCCATCCCTGCGGGTGCGTGGGGCAGGACTCGGCACAGCACCCGCTGGCACACAGCCCTGGCAGCCCCCAGTCCTGTGGCTGCTTGTCCAACACCTGTGGCTGCGGCATCACTAAGGCCCTGGGGACACCCCACCAGTGCCCCGCCAGCCTGTCCGACCCTGTTGCACTCTGGATGGGCCAAACAGCTCCACGTCTACCCTGTGGGACACCACCTGGGCCAAATGGCTCCGTGTTTATCCCGTGGGACGCTGGAGGGGGCAAACAGCTCCATGCTCACCCCACCAGCCCCCGTCTGGTGCCAGCAGCCCCACACACAGCCCCCTGCCCCCATCGGTACCTTGGAGTAGAGCCCCCAGGAGAGCTCGGTCTCGATGACCATGACAACGATGCCGAACATGCCGAAGATGAGCGCGTAGTCACTGAGGCGCTTCCTCTTCTCGAAGAGCGCCCGGCGGTGCCCGAGCCGGTAGCCGATGTTTTGTGCCTTGCGCTTGGGCCCCTTGGCGAAGGTGGAGGGGGCCGGGCGGGCGGGCGGGCGGGTGGGACAGTGGGTGGTGGGCGCGTGGTTGTCCTCACGCGAGACAACGATCTCCGGAGGTCCACCGGCACCGAAGAGCTGCAGGGGTTGTGCCTCTGGCTCAGCCTCGATAAGGTTCCGTCGGGATGCGCTGAGCCGGCTGAGGGGCTTCATCACCCCTCCGCTGTACTTGCAGGAGCTCATGGCAATCTCGGTGAAGGGGTTGCTGTCCCGCCGATGGACCAAGGGGCTGGGCTGCCGATGTTTGCCACTCGCCACCCCAGAGCCCGCTGGGTGGTCGCCGAGGTTGAGCTGGCTGCCGTGGCGGGAGGAAGGGTGGAGGGCGGCGGGGGCGGCGGGAGGAGGAGGAGGGGCCCGTAACGACCCGGGCGAGGAGTGCAACAGGCTGTGTTGAAGCGGCGGCAGCGCGGAGGGCGGCGGCGGTGACCGTTCATCCCCCGGTAGCGGGCAGGGACACCGACCATCCTCCTCCAAGTCCCCCACGCCCGAATCGTGGAGATGCCCCGACGTCTCCATAACGGCGGTACCGGCGCCGCTTTACAGGGCACCGGTCCCGCTTTACTGGTCACCGGCCCCGTTCGCTGGATCATGAATGGGCGCCGTGCGCTCTCCGCTATCGCCGCCGCCACCGCCCCCGCCGCTGCCGCTGGCCCGGCCCCGCAGCGCCATTGGCCACGCTGGGGCTCCCCGCAGGCTGACATCATCCCCGCCCGCTCCCCGCTTTGTATCTCCCCCCCTCATCACACCCCCGGCTCCTGCATCTTTGCGGGGTCGTTCGGGACTTGTAGTGCATCGGGTTGCACTGGGTGCCGGGATCGGTGCGCCCCGGCTCACAAGTCCCGAACGACCCCTCACCTGTTTTACCCACTGGGTTACCCCATGGGCATCCCCCCTCCCCTTGTATAAAACCCCCTAATCCCCTTACAGAGGCTGGAGATTACAAGCAGCAGCTGGAGTGTGTGCTTCCATCCTGGGGGTGGGTCACGCCATTGATTGCAGGGGGGTGTGTGTGGAGGGGTGTGTGTGCCCCAGCATGTCCCCAAGGCGGGGATCAGGCTGATGATAGACCCAGAGTATGGAATATGTAGCTATAGATGTATATAAAGGGCCCTAATCCCCCTCTACAACCCCACAGCCCGCCCAGGAACCCCCCCAGCCGTGCCCAGCTGTTGCAGGAGAAGAGCGGATATCAGGGTAGGAGCTTGGGAAGCAGAAATAATCCCTAGGGAATTGGCTGCTGGAAACCCTATTAAAAGACACCACGAAGCATCCAGCTGGTGACCCCCCTGCCCAGGAAGAAGTAATTAAACTGCACCTCTGCCCCTCAAAAGCTGGTGAATTCATGGCAGGGGTGAGGGGGACTGCCTATGTGTCCCTCCCCCAGAAATGAGACACGGCCCCAGCGTGGCAGTGGTTCTCCATGTCGGAGCTTTATTCCAGAACAGGAAGTGCTGGCAAGAGGTGGAGGGGGGGGTGCTGGGGGGCTGGGGAGGGGGGGATGTGGTCCCCAAGCCTCAGTGGAGGAACATGGAGCTATAGGCTTCTGTGGAGCGACTGCAGCAGCGTCTCCAGCTGCTCGCCCAAGGCCAGCTCATCCCCGTCGTTGGTGATCACCCAGTCGAAGGCCACTCCCTGGTCCAGGCCACACTCAGACTCGGCATCGTCCACCCCTGGCAGCAGCAGAGCCCGGGGAGGCCCCGAGGACAGTCACAATCTGTCCATCTGTCCCCCCCACTGTGGCCCCCCCCCCCCCCCCAGAGCTGGGGGCTTGATCCAAAGCCTCTGGCTCCCACTGCCAAGGAATGGCAGTGGAGGCAGCAGACCCATGCCCGTGGGGCAACCCCTGCTTTTGGTGCTGCGCTCGGGGAAGCTGCCCCTCACTTGCTCACCAGTGACAAAGACCCAGTTCCTCCTCTTCCTTGTCTCCTCAGTAGCCACCACCCGCACGGTCTGCACCACGTCCCCATAGACGTCCCGGAACCACTCCACGTCCGAGAGGCGCCGTGTGTCACTCACCACCTGCACGGGGGCTCCCTCAGCGCCCACCCTGCGCTCCCCTGGCACCCCTCTTCCCCCCCCAGCGGCTCACCCACACCGGGTGCAGCGCCCCCTCCACTGCTGCCCGGCAGAAGAAGCCAGGGTCGGCACGGCGCTTCTCCTCGCCCCAGCGGATCATGTCCTGCCGGAACGTCTCCTTGTAGGCACTGGCATCCAGGAGCCGCTGGAAGTCGAGGCCATGCTCCTGCAGGAAGAGAAGGGTCAGTGCGCACGGCCCGGGCCACGGAGCACGGCGTGACATGGCATGACATGGCACGGCACAGCAAGGGCAGGTGCGATGTGCCATGGTCAGCACCGCTCAGTACAGCAGCGTGACATGGCATGAGCATGGGACGGCACAGTGTGGCACGGCATGTCCTGACACGGCTCGGCGTGGCGTGGCATGGCGCAATCCAGCACAGCGTGGCCAAAGCATTGCATCGCATGGCACAGAGTGGCGTGGCAGGGCACGGCACAGCTCGGCACGGCGTGGTGTGGCACGCACGTGGCACGGCACAGCGCGTGCCCCGGCGCAGATCAGTGTGGCACGGCATAGCATGGCACGGCACGGCGGGGAGGGCCACAGTGTGGTGCAGCACGGCACAGCTCGGCACGGCGTGGCACTGCATGGCACGGTGTTGGACGGCACAGCCACGGCAAGGAGTGTCCTGGCCCAGCTCGGCGGGGCGTGACGCGGCTCGGGGCGTGCAGGGCCGCGGTACCTTGGCGTACTGCTCCTTGAGGGGCCCGGAGAGGCGCAGGATGGTGCAGACGTCGGGGCCCAGCCTGCGGGAGAGGGGTCAGCGGGACTGGCACCGGCCGAGCGGAGCCCGACCTCTCCATCCCCTCGTACTGGTCCCGCCCCCGGGGCCTTTCCCGCCCCCGCCCCCGGCTCCGCCCGGTACCGGCTCCGCAGCTCCTCGGCCACGAAATCCTTGCCCGATTTCCTCTTCCCGCTCAGCAGCAGCACCGCGCGCGGCGCCGCCATCGGCGCCCGGACCCGCCCCGGTCCCGCCCCGGCCCCGGTGACTCCGCCCGCCCCACGGCCCCCCCTGCCGGGCGGGGCCGGCACAGCACCGAGCGGGCCCCGCGAACCCCCCCGGGACACGGCGGGCTCTGCCCCGCCCCTCAGAGCATCCCGTACCCCCAGCAAGCAACCCTCTGCCCCTAGTGCCCTCCCTCTCCCCATTTCCTCCTCACACACCCCGTTCTCCTCTGAACCTCCCTTTCCCCAGTACCTTGTTCCCCCCAAAGCTCCCTCTTTCCTCCCAGCACCCCCATTTCCCCAGCTTCCCCCAACACCCTCTCTTCCCCCTCAGCAATCCCCTTCTGCTCCAACACCGCCTATTCCCCTCTGCCCTGTCTTTTCATCTTTTCATCTGCACTCCCTCTCCCCCCTGTACCACTTCTTCCCTGCACTCCTCTCTTCCCTCCCAGCACCTTCTTCGCCCCACAGCACCCCATTCCCCTCTGCTCCCTCCTTTCCTCCTCACTCTCTCTATTCCTCCTCTAAACCCCTCTTTCCCCAGGACCCTCTTTTCTCAGCACTTTCCCTTTCCCTTCCCCCAGCACCCCTTTTTTCCCCACACCCACACAGCTCTGCCCAGCGGTGACTTTATTCATGGTGGCAGTCAAGCATCACACAGTGCATTCGGTCAGGGACCTGGCCCTACTCGGCCCTACAGGGTGCAACAGTAGCTCCCAGCCCCCCCAAAACAGCCCATGGGGGGCCCTTGCGTGGCTGAAGGCTTGTGGTGAGGAGCCATCCTGGAACAATATGGTGCTGTCCCCTGGCTCTACCACCTCATGCCGTGGTGCTGCAGGGCTCTCCGGCCCCACTCTTTCCCGGAGGTGCTGCAAGAGAAGGGGAGTTGGGATGGGGTGCTAAGGGGGGAGATCCCCCAGGACCCCCGGCACCACCTGCCCCAGCTCACCCGCTGTAATGCCGCAGCATGTACTCCTCGAAGCCGTCGGCTGCTTTCTTGTCACCCCCCTCCTGCCACGCCATCTCCTCCAGCAGCTCTTCCACATCATCCACGAAGTCGACGAACCGCAGGCGGTCGTGGGCAAAGACCCCGTCAGACCCAAAGACCCCATCCAGCCGCGCTGCCAGCCCCCCAAAGTGCCCCCCCAAGCCCAGGCGCCCCATGAAGCTCTCCAGCAGCCGCAGGAACTGTGCCTTCTGCACTGGCTCCAGCACAGCCCCCAGTGCCTCGCGGCCCTCCTTGCGGGCGCAGTCGGCCACCCCTGAGCAGCCCTGAGGTGCCCGGTACCGCTTGAGCAGGGGCAGCTCGCGGGAGCCTTGCTGGGGGTGGCTGTGAGACGGCTTCCCCCAGCCTTTGCCTGGCTTGTGTTCCCGGGGGGACCGGGGATCCTTCCTGTGCCCCTGGGGTTTGCCATGCTCTCTCCTCTCCTGTTCGTGGGGGGCCCCCCTAGTGGCGTGCTGCTTGTGCCACTTGCTCTCCTTCTCCACCTTGAACGGCTTCTTCCAGGCTGTGGGGAAGGACCCGGTCCCCTCTGCCTCTAGCACCTGGCCCAGGCGCTGCTCCAGGGTGCTGAGTTCCTCCACAAGCCCCGGCAGATCCCCAGAGCCCCGCACGCGCTCCAGGGTGTCCGCCAGCTCCCGACGCAGCACATCCAGCTCACCGTGCCACCATGCCGTGGCCTTGCCGTGCCCTGGGACACCTGTGGCATGGGGCCGCTCTGCCGCTGGCCCCCTGGGGCTGCTCGGTGTCCCCGTGGCCTGCAGGCGCTGCAGCTCGGCCCGGGCGTCCCGCAGCGCACTGACCTCCCGCTCCAGAGCCGCGCGCAGCCGCGCGTTCTCCTTGGCCAGGCCCTGCTGCTGCGCCCCTGCTGCCGCCGCCTCACCCTCGCTCCTCTGCAGCAGCGCCTGCAGCTCATCCTTATGCGCCTGGAGCAGGGGGAGGGGGCCGTGAGAGAGGTGGGAGAGGCAGAGCGCCACTGGGACACAACACCAGGGGGTCAGGCACCCACCTGCAGCTCCGCCTGCATGAGCCGGATCTCCTGGTTTTCCTTGGCCAGCTTGTCCAGGAGTTGGCTCATGGACTGCATGCTCTGGGGGTCCCCAGTGTCTGGCAGAGGCGGCTTCTGCTTCGAGTCCTGAGAGACAGGAAGTTTGGGAAGCTTGGGGGTGCTTGGGACATCCCCTGCTCTGACTCAGCCCTGCTCAGAACCCCTCCTTACATTGCTGTCAGTGGACAGCAGCGACTCCTGCTCCCCAGCAAAGTCCCAGCTCCCCACACTTTCCACAGGGCCTGTGGAGGAGGATGTGGGTCCGAGCGTCCAGGCTGCTGCAGGATGTCCCCCTGCCCAGCTGGGACAGTCCCACATACTCACCATCCGCTGGGTCGTAGATGCCACCTGGGGAGAGAAGGGCACAACAAGGGGGATGTCTGGACCCCACACTGTCCCTGGGCCCCCAGCCACCAGGATCCCCACTCACCAGTGATGATCAGCACCCCCACAGCCACCAGCGCCAAGGCGCCCAGCAGGTACTTGCTCATACTGAGCCCATCCTCGTCACCAGTGTCCGGTGTCCCCCGGTGCGGGGCGCGCGTGGCAGGGGGGGGTCCAGGACGGGGCTTGTGGCCCTGCCGCCGCCGCAGCCCCTCCGTGTCATTGTCACTGCTGGTGCAGCTCCCATCTTCTGTCTGTGACCCTGACAGGGGACGGGATGACCTCCAGGGAGGGTCTGCCTCTGAGCACTGCCCTGCGAGGTCCTCACCTGCTTTGGGGGTGCCAGGGCAGGATTGTGACTCAGCCTCTGCATCAGGCTCCTCCTGCACATCGCCCTCTGTCACACTGGGCTCCGTGGAGCCATCTGGGGCAGGCACTGCCCACCCCCCGGGCTCCGTGCACTCCTCTGGGTCCTGCAGGCACAGGTGCTGGTGTGTGGGGTGTCCCCGTGGGGGGAGCAGCCCTCCAGACCCCCTGTCCTGGCTCACTCCCTGCCTGCTGACCTCGGGGTGCAGGGTCTGGCCAGGAAAGGTGGCGGCACCGTTGGTGGTCACGGCTGGGGAGAGGCAGAGCATAGGGGTGAGATGGTGGCACAGGGGGTGACACTGGGCCTGCTCCATCCCCATGGTGGCTGCCTGCCTGTGGCTGTGTCCTGGGTGCCTTCATCCTCCTTCTCCTCCTCTTCCTCCTGCGGTTCCTCATCCTCAGCCCCATGGGAATCCTGCTCTGGACCCACTGTGTCAATGGGCAGACCCTGGGGGAAGCAGGGAGGGACACAGGGTGACACCTTCAGCCCCAACTTCTGTGTGCCCCACTCTGCCCACAGCCCTGGGCAGGCTGTGACGGTCTGCCCAGGGGGTCTCAAAAAGTGGGGTGCAGCCCCAGGGGATGCCGAGCATCGGGAGCTGCCCTGGGGTCTCCAGCCCGGAGGGTCTGCCTGGGATTCCCAGCCCCAGGGCGCTGCCCCAGGTGTCCCGAGGCACGGGGCTGCCAGGGATGTTGCCCTGGAGATCCCCAGCAGCAGGGTCGGCCCTGGGAGTCCCCAGCCCTCACCTCGCTGCCCGCCAGCACCCAGCTGCTCTCCGAGTCTCGGGAGTCCGATTTCTCCGCCATGGGGACAACCACCTGCAAGGACACGGACGGACAGCGGGACGTGACCTGGCTGTTCCCGGTACCCCTGGAATGTGACCGGGAGAGCCACGGTCCTGGTGCAAGCCAGTCCCCCAAACGATGCCTGTGGGGACCCTCTGGGAGCCATCCCGGAGCATGGGCCCCGCCGCACCGCCCCCCCGACCCCAGCGGCCGCCGCGGGGTATTTTTAGTCGGTGATGCCGCCCGGCAGGTGCACGGGGGACGCGGGGCCCGGCATGGGGGCACGGGCGAAGGCGAGGCCCGACGGGGGGACACGGGGGCCCCGTTCGAGATCCCACCACCCCAAAGCAAAGCAGCGGCACCGGGAGGGGGATCTCAAGCAGCCCCCGCCCTTCCCCCTCCGCCCCAGGCTCCCGGGACCCAGAAGTGGCCCGGCCGTGGGGGGGACGGCGCTGTCGGTGACATCCCCGCTCCGCTGGGCCCCACGCGGCCCAGGCCGGGCCTGCCCGCGCCCCCCACGGACCCGGTCCGGTACCTGCGCCCGCCGCGTCCCGCCGGGAACTTTCCCCGGGATCGCCCCCGCCCCCGGGAACGGGGCGCGCACGTGACGGGAGCGGCCAATGAAGCGCGCGGGGGGCGGGACGGGAGCGCGGCCCCGCCGGGACCGGGCAACACCCCCGACCCCCCTGAACCCTCCCGGTACCGGACAGACACCGACACCGCCGGACACCCCCCGACCCCCCTGAACCCTCCCGGTACCGGACAGACACCGACACCGCCGGACACCCCCCGACCCCCCTGAACCCTCCCGGTACCGGACAGACACCGGCACCGCCGGACACTCCCCGACCCCCCTGAACCCTCCCGGTACCGGACAGACACCGGCACCGCTGGATACCCCCCTCGAACAGCCCTCGACCCCCGTGAACACCCCCGGTACCGGACAGACACAGAACCCCTGAACACCCCCGGACACCTCCCTCGGACACACACCGACACGCGCGTTTCAGAGTTTTATAGCGACGGTACAAAAAGTTTCCATTTAACGATCGGCTATAACAGAGGGAACCTTGTGGGGGGGTGGGGGGAGGGGGCGAGCGGGTACCGGGATCACCGGGGGTGGGCACGGGAGCGAGAAGCACCGGAACTGCCCCGTTCATGTACACGGGGCACCGGGACCGCTGCATACCAGCGAGGGCACTAACCAAACCGGGCAGCGCTGAGGGGCACCGGGAAGCCTCAGCCCATCCAGGGCCGGTGCACCGGAGCCAGAGCCCTCCCCACACCAAAGGGCTGGCGACAGCACAGACAGACCCACCCCGGGTCCCCTGGGCACTGTCCCCTGGTGGCTCCCAGTGGCCGGTGGTGCCTGGGGGAGCAGCCACAGCTGGCAGAGGAGGGGGTGACAGCTACAAAAAACAGGGGTTTGGTCCTAAGTCAGCGTGGGGAGCTGTACATGGCGGCAGGAGGGAGGCTCAGCCGTCGTTGGCGGCCACCAGCTGTCCCATGCCCTCTCGGATGTAGACAGACTGGATCTCCTTGGTCTTGAGGCAGAAGTCGCAGGCCCAGACAGCCGAGGCCTCGGTGGTGAGCAGCCCGTAGGCGTTCTCCGTCATGCCCGTGCACTCCCGGTGGAACCACTTCTGGCAGGAGGCCTCGCACAGGATGGCGTCCTGGTCATCGTTGACCTCGTTGCGGCAGGCCCCGCACGGGTACACGAGCCCCGGGGGCGGCTGGTGGCTGGAGGGTGCTCCGGGGGCCTTCCCGGGGGGCGGCAGCGGGAGGCTGTTGGTGTCGGGGGTGCCGCTGCCGCGGGCGGCGCCGCCGGGGCCGAAGCCGGGCTGTGCCCCGTTGACGGCGGCGGGGGAGCCCGAGTGCTGCTCCGGGGCAAAGGTGCTAGGCGGGGGGTTCTTGCCGCCCCCCTCCTCGCCCCCTGCGGGGAAGGCGGGGTCGGCCCCGGGGAAGGGGCTGGCGGTGGGCGGCAGTGGGGGCATGTTCGGCCCGGGGCGCTGCAGGGGCGACTGTCCGAAGAGGTTGCCGGGCTGGCTGAAGCGCTGAGCCACCGCCGGGCCCCCTCCGGGGGCGTTGAGGGCCGGCCCGGGGCCCATGTCCCCCCCACCCCGCGGGGGCTGCCCCATGGTGGGGGAGATCATGGGCCCGAAGCCCGCGACGGGGCCCTGCATGAGCTGTCCCATGGGCGGGCTGAAGTTCTGTCCGAGGGGCTGGCTGAAGGGCTGCCCGGCGAAGCCCAGGCCCCCGCCCTGCACGTAGTTGGGGTTCTGGGGGGCCATGCTGAAGGCCGGGCCCATCTGCCCGGGGGCGAAGGGCGGGGGCTGCCTCCGCAGGGGCTGCGGGCCCCCGCCGTAGCCGGGGGGCACCTGCGGCGACATCCCCCCGCCCTGCACGCGGAACCCGCCGAACGGGACGGGGCTGCCCAGGAACGGGGCGGGCGCCGCCCCCACCTTGGGGGCCCCGAAGTCATCCTCGAAGGGGTTGGAGGCCACCAGGTGGTCCACCATGGGCGTGGGCGGCGGCGCGAACTCCGAGAGGTGCGAGTAGGCGGGGCCCTGCGGGGAGAAGGCGCGGTCAGGGCTTTGCCGGGGACCCCTCCCCGGGACCCCCGGGCCCGGCGCGTACCTGCGTGTTGGACTTGCGGCGCTTTTTCTCGGGGCTCTTCATCTGCAGCCCTGCGGAGACAGGAGGGGCCGCGTCAGGGGGGGCTGGGGGGACCCCCACCCCGTTCCACCCGCCCCGGCCCCGGCGCTCACCTGCCTTCCCCTGCTTGCGGCCGGGCCC